TATATATATATATATATATATATATATATATATATATATATATATATATATATATATATATATATATATATATATATATATACATACAAAAGTTTCCATCCTGATATCATTCGATAATCTTTTTATCGATATCATTCCATCTGTAATTTTAAACAATGAACCAACAGTCTCTTTCGTTTGTTCTTTCGAAACTGAAGTCGTTCGTCAGCTTAAGTACGACTGTCTCGAAGTTGTTTATGGGACCGATCAAACAGCGTGTCCCGTGAAACCATGTGACATATGCGTGTTATTTGCCAAAAAGATAAATAATTCGTTTAGTTTATTCTACGGCAAGAGTTACAAGTATTCCATGTGATTAGGGCTCGAAATAAATATCTAGCAATGAGCAATGATTTTGTTATATATATATATATATATATATATATATATATATATAAAGAATCAGATGACATATCAAATTTAATTAATGACCTAAATTTAAAATTTTGACTCATGATGACTTTGACCAATTATGTTACAGACGACACTTGGATTCAATTAATTAAAATTTCAACATTATGATTGGCCAACTTTGATGCATTACATCACCTAAGTTATGTTACTTTTCCTATTTATGTTCTAAATATCTTCATTATGACACTACTAACTCCATCAGATCCCCCCATGTTTCTCTCTTTTTTTTTGTTTTTTATTTTAAATATTGTCCTCATCACCCTCTCTGCATTCCAAACAGAAAAAGGCTTCCACCTTGAGGTTTTCCACCACCACTCCAAGCATACTATTAAATTGCAGTTATCAGACGCTCCCCCCCTTCCTTGCAGATAAGAAAGTGAGATCTCATGCTTAGTACTATCGTCTATTTTTCTACATGGGAAGTGCCTCTCCTCGAAGCCTAATTGGAGTAGTTCTGAGACCTCCACAGCCATATAACCAGTTTGAAGATAAACTATATGACGCCAGTCCTCAACTTGCACCCCCTTCACACACTCAACATGTTTGGCATTTGTTTGAACTTTTCAAACAGGACCAGATTCATCCCCTGTCTTCTTCTACTTACAGTGAGGTTAAAGCTGGGTGTGTCACTTACCAGTCATGGCATTGACTTGCTGATTATTCCAGGCTTCCACCCTCATCAGGGATTCATACCTACTACCCTGAGGAGGAGTTGTTCTCAAACAAACACCAAAGGTCACTGTAGATCTTTTAGAAAGTGTAAACAGGTCCCTGTAGTCAGTCAGTCAATCAAATATTCCTCCTGTCAACAAGGGGAAAGGAAGCCAGATAAAGGATTGGCCTCTGAATAAAATTGCTGTATTATAATGATGGTGTTGATGAATGTGGGATGAACCCTAGAAAAAGGAAAAGAACATGGCTGTTTGCCCTTTACAATTCTTGTTTCTTTTAATTACCAGGGCATAGTTCAAAGGAAAACTAATGATTAAAAAGCAAGCAGGCTACATGGCAACTTTTTTGCCTTTCCCAACTTTTCCTAATATAAAGATGTTTCTATCAGCCATAAGAAAAAGTGAATGAGAAGATTTTTTTTGTATCATTTCTTTGTGGAAAAGTGAGCACTTGATTCTGGTGAGGCAACTTTTCAGTTCTTTATTCAAGAACTCTGCACTTGACACTTGCTATTAACTTTGACACTCATCTCAACCAAGGAAGGAGGCTGAGAACAAGCCACAAAGATAATATACCACATTTGAGTTGGCTGGTTGTCTTGCTGAACACTCTTCCAAAGGTGGCTTTAGCGAATTAGGACTTGGTCTGTCTACGTGGGCAGGCAAGGGTGAGAGCCAAAGCACTCTCATCATTCCCAAGCACAGAAAGGGACCTTTTTGAGTCATGCTATCATGAACTGGTCTGGTATGATGATGCAATTGTGAGCTCTGATGTTAATGCTATACATTTTTCTTTTCCATTCTTTTTATCAGAAGTGCATGCATCAAAGTGTTGCTGTGTGGGCCCAATCAGTGATAAAGGAATAGTCTTTTGGACCAGAAAAGATGAGTGACCAAAAGATCTAACTTTCCGATGCTAACCACAATTATTTTCTGCTTCTTTTTTTTTTTGCTCAGTACTGACGACACCCATTTATTCCCACATGCCTTGATGACTCCCTTGTGGATCACAACCCCAAAATCTCTATACCCTGAGACCAACTAGGAAAGACTAGGCAAATATTTTATGAACTGTGAATGAGGTTGTTTTTAAAGAAACAGCAGGCACAGTCACCTACTCGATTCATTGCAAGGTGGTCCTGCAATAAATCTGAAGTTGAAACGATACAAATACATACCCTATTTAATGAAATCCACATGTCTGTACTAGCATTCAGCTGCTGGATTCTGATCTAAAGCTCAACTGAGAAGCATGGTAGATGTGATAACTCACCCGTTAACGAGCAGAGATGCCAGAATTGCCTCCACCAGGAGCTCAAGACCTCATCCCTGCATGCATGTTTGACTGCAAATTACACCATGAATATTTCCATGTATAAGAATAAATTGAGAGTGCAAAATCTAGCGTGCGCACAACAATAACAGCCACGGGAATTTCTTCCAGGAAATGGACAAGATCGATCTCACACTCCAAAATAAAAGTTTGTCAAAGGAGCTCTTTTTTTCTTGTACTTTTTGCTTGGTTTGGCCGTCCTATCCATCCATTTGGGTGGGGTGAGAAAAAAGGCTTTAAAGAATTCAGCCCCTTTTCCTACCTCCTCTGGCCATTGTGTTCCCTTTCCCCCCTTATATACCTCCTCCGTGTCATGTACCTCTCCACCCTTCTCTCTCTCTCTCTCTCTCTCTCTCTCTCTCTCGTGATGGCAGAGGATGAGGAAGCAGCAAGTTTCAAACTTTTCGGAGCAGTGATCCTAAAGGGGGAGAGACAAACCAAGGAAGAAGAGGAGACGGGTGCTCGGACGGCGCCAGCGTCGGGTGGGGCGGTCGAGGCGGCGGAGGCGGTGGCGAGGGGAGCGGCATCGCTGCCGTGCCCAAGGTGCAAGAGCAGGGAGACCAAGTTCTGCTACTTCAACAATTATAACGTCAACCAGCCGCGGCACTTCTGCAAGGCCTGCCACCGCTACTGGACCGCCGGCGGCGCCCTCCGCAACGTCCCCGTCGGCGCTGGTCGCCGCAGGGGCCGCCCCGCCCACCGCGGCGGAGGCGGCGTCGTCCCGGCTGCATGCGTCCTAGACTACCCGTCGCCGGGGTACCTGGGCGGGGCGGCGGCGGAGCGGTGGCTCCTGAGGCCGGAGGCGCCGGCGGGGGCTGACCGCGGCCTCGACGGTGGGATTCGTTGACTTCTCTGGGGCGAGGTGAAACGCTCCAGTTCCGGTGTGCGTCTCGCGTAGAAGAAAAAAGGATCTGTACGTGCGTGGCCTAAACGTAACATAATTCCAAAGTGCGAGCCCACATAGCAAAGCTGTTGCTTCTCTCTCTGTTCTCTCTCCCCTTTTCTTTCTTTGGTGATCTTAATATCTTGTTTTTAGTGTTATCATTGTACAGGCTGAGATCATTAATGGCCTAATTTAGATTTTGTTTTCGCAACCTCGATCATTTTCAGATTTATTAATTTTGATTCTATCTCAGAATATAGCCTGACAAATTACATCACAGTAGATGCTTATAAAAAATCTTTCATGATCTCCATCTACAACTATAAATCTAGTATCTGGATCTGCCTCTATTCTGATTCAGAGAAAACATCTCAAACTCAAGTTTTGGGTGTCTTTTGCATCCTATTAACTCTGATATTTTGTTCGTCATCCTGTATTTTATGCTCTGAGTTGTGTGCTCTGTAAGCAATTGAGTCATAAAGTCCAAAATCTTAGTTAATGAATTCCCTTTCCTACCCAGCTGGGGAAGATGCTTAAGCATTGGGATGCGCCACATGATGAGTTCTTATCTGGAGTAAAAAGTCAAAGGGAAGACCAGACTATATGACTAGAACAACTAATTTATGCTGGTCTGGTGTCCATGGCATGGCATGATACGCATTCTAATTTGGTTTTCTAGTAACGAAGGCAATATACTAGCAAATGGCATGTGATAGTGGCCATGACATTTCATTTTGGTGTGACAACATTTATCAAAACAATTCTACTATTTTGGACTTTTTCACGTAGAAAATTAAAAGCATCAGAAACAAACCAACAAAAAAAAAAGCGAGATGCAAGATCATTAAAGAAGTTTCTGGTTGAGTAAGTCGGCCTAAATAGCAAAGTTCAGTCAGATGTATGGTTTCTACGTGGATTAGTGGCATGGCCTGATATTAGAACTGCAATAGAACTCTAAATTTGATGCGTCAAAAAAGTAATGTTAAACAATGTACTTCAATAACCAATTCCAAGTATAACTACAAAAGCACATCAACATGTATTTATAACATTTAAACTAAACAGTAATCCACCAACCTGGATAATCAAAGCTGAGATCTTTTACAGGTTCCATACTGTTCATGTTCCAGCCTCGTCTACAGCATGGAGTAAAAATTTGCACTGCAAAAAGACGGTCAGAATCAAAAGTGATATTTCATCCACATATATGTCCATGAAATGAATGTCTGCAGTTATGACACTAGAGACTATCTAGCAGTCCAGAATTTTGACCGTCTATCAACTGAAAAACAATGATTTCAATTTCTGCAGGAATCAGGACGTTTGAAGCCATAATTTGATACGAATATCATGCTATGGGAAGGAGGATCAGAACAATTTGCTATTGAAGAGAACCCGTACTCCAATTTTCCTGATAAGAAAACCCATAAAAGAATAGCTTTTCTCCTTATGAATGGAACAATTCAAAAGTTCTAAAAGCAAAACTTTCAGCACTTAGGCTAATAGATGCATATGAAGAATTTTACAGCCTACTTGCTCACTCCACCTATTAGATACATCATTGCTGGAACAACCGGAACCAGCATCCTTGGTTGTCCACCAGCTTCCCTGCACACACATCTCTTGGTCAAGGGATAGGAGGAATAAAAACTACCATCACTCTAATATTTATTCATTTAGATCAGACCTACAATGTTTAATACATAAGAAACATTTCATCAACCACCGAGCCTTGTCCTGGTGTTTGGTTCCCCTCTTCGCCTGGAAGAGCTATTGGCATCAGATATTCTGACCTCAGTATTCTAAAAGAAATTGACAGGAATACATGGTGAATCTTCGGCTTCCATCTGACTGGAAAGGGGTGTAGGTCATTAATGGCTGATGCTAATCTGTTCATAGAACTTCTGGTGGTTCACATCAAGAAGTGGTCTCATCATATGAGGATTCACTAGGTGCAGCTAGCTGGAATCAGAAGATTTGCATGTAGGCATTCTCAAGACTTGCCTACTGGTCAGTCAAGAAAACAGTCACCTCCTAATAATGAAATGTTTCATCCACAAGGTATTATAGATTGACCTCAGCTGTAAGAATCAGAACACTGGTTTTATTTCATTTCAGTGCCCACTCATATGCAGATTATGTTCTGACTTATTTCAGCCTCCAATGGACATGACTTAGAAGCTGAGTCTGTTGAAAAGGTACCATCACCACAGGCTTCTTCAAGAACACCAATTACTTTCAAGGATACATCAGATTGGCAAAGATTAAAATTTTGAATGTAACAGCATAGCAAGTTCTCAGATAAGCTTGATTTAACTTAAAAAGACCACTCAGTCTACAAAAATCCAGGGATCCATGAACCTGACCCATATCATTTACAAATGCAATTGGTTGATTTTCTTAATCATCCTTTATTGTGACGCATAGTTTAGTTAATAACAACTATGAAAATGATACCAATCAACTTAAATGGATGCACCATTTGCAACTGGATTAATGGTATTGCCTAGCATGTGTCCTCGACACCAAAGAACCAAGCACCCTTGCACCAAAGCTGAAGAAAGGAAGAACCATCAGATTTTTTTTAAGAAAGAACAATCTGGTATGCTACATAAATTATTTTCTTATGAAAATGAAACTAAAGAAAAGAAGTGATCGATGTAATTCCAAATGTTACCACCATGAGTCAAGAGAGGAGGAAGAAACATTAATTGGGAGTTAAATGAGTGTTCAATATACCACATAATTCCAAATGTTATTATGATGTCCGAGAGAGAGGAATAACGGTTGATTGATTGCATGAAAAGATTTTTTATGCATTCTGCTGTGACTCCAAATGTAATCATAAAAATGCTCGATAGAGGAAGGATCAGATCAGTTGTGAATTAATGAGTATTTAAAAACATAAAAGGATGACAAATGGGTTACTGATGCATTCCAGTTTAATTCCAATTGTTATCTTAGTGAGAGTTCAAGAGAGGAAAGGGAAGAAGACTAGGTAAAATTAGTGATTGAGATACAGAAGGCGCATAAACAGACTACTGTCACACTAGTAGAATCCCTTCCGTATTAATGCTCATGGTTGATAGGTTTCAGAAAGGGAATTGCACGAGAAGTGTTCAGAATTCCTGCAATTACGTCATAAGCAAAAGTGAAAAGCAACCAAGTGTTTCTCTATAATGCTTTAGAAATAAAAGACTAGACAAACTCACCAACAAAGTAGTTTATGTTAATTGCATAGCTAGCTGTAATTCCCAGACGGTAGAAAAAGTACGCAGAGATCAGTCACTTGCTTACCGTCTCTATCGCACTTTGCAGCTCCGTTCGCGTAGAGACCAATATCCATCTCTGTGATGCAGTGTGAGGAATGTTAGGTTCAATCATTCAATTCTTTGAACTAGATCAGAAGGAAAAGAAGAAAAAGGAACACAACTAGGAGCCGTTCCTACCATCAGATTCCCTGCGGCCTCTAACTTCTGCTCCAACACCGGCTTCGGTAGCGGCCTCGATTCTATCTCTATCCTGGAAATGGAGAACTGTTTGCAGATAAACCCCTCACCGCCGACTCAGTTCTTACCGGGATCGGTGGTGGTCGGAAGGACTCCGGTCGAACACTTGAGCGGCTTCTTCGTGGGGAGGCCGACAGGAATAGAGGGCGAACGAGGATCCCATGCGGAAAGAATGACGGCACGGCAGACCATGAAGGCGGAGGAGTCGAAGACGATCATCGTCGACGGAGGAGGACTGCGCCCCCGCGGCCCTTCTGCTTCCTTCCACTGCTGTGCCGCTCCCCCAAGACGGGATCGAAACTAACGGGCGGTGATTGGTTGGGCGCGAAAACAGATGCGTATGAAAAACTTGAATTCAAATGCAAAAAATATTATTAGTATCATTATAACAAGCAAAAGTTACGTAATAAATATTTTTATAAATATTCGAATATGTTAATATGAACAAAATCAAAGCACAAACGAGAATATATGGGACCCATGAGTCATTATTGTGGTGCAAAAGGTTTTTTTATTTTTTGTTTTTCGTAATCCTATTCTTGATGTGATACTCCAACAACAAACTCGATGGTGAATGGCGTACGTGTCGAAAGAGGTGGGAATTGACTAGAAAGATTGGGAAACCATACGTCATGAACTTAACTACCTTTTAATGGAGCTCCGTATTTAGACTCCCACGTCACCTCACCGCCCCCACCCCTCCCTCCATCCTCGCCCATGCTCGCATGTGATTCGTACGCCGCACCCATCCCTTGCTGCCTCACCGACCATTCCACGTGGCAAGCAGTAATTGATTGCATTCAATTATCGTATTCCCACGCTTCGCCCACACCGTACATCGGCGGGATCACGACTATTCTACGACGTGGCATCTTTTCAGCTTCCTTGTTTGCAGCCCCCGAGAGACTCACCAATGAGATAGTGCCCTTCTCATGATCCCGTTGCATCAACCCCAAACGAGCTTCACTTTCGCTTGCCGACTTCTACGGCAAATAGTTCCGTGACACGTGTGGTGACAGACGTACGAAGCTTCGAACCTCTGCCGACCTCACCGAAGCACGTAGCTTCGCGACACGTGTAAACGTAGCTCTCCATCGAGCGCGGCTGCGACAGGATCCGTTAGCGACGCGTCGAAAGTCGTCGGAGGGGAAAAGAAATCTTTCCCGTCGTGTTCAATGCCGTTCCATCTCGTATTCCGAACATCCTTCTCAATCGCCGTGTCGGTATGTTATGGGAAGACAGAGTGGGACCCAAAATCATGGCCAATATTAGGAAAATTAAGAGTGTGCGCTGCGCCATATAAAATAGCTGATGCTTCGAACAGGAGGAAGACGCTAGCATCGTTCGTTGTATAAGACAAGTCGGTGCGAAATTATTACTTGTAGGTACTTTAAAACACAGGATGGCTTTGTTTAGCTTTTGACACCACAACAGCATCATGGACGCTACCCATTCATCGCCTCTATAAATAGAGGAAGCCAAGGCAGCTTCCAGTATTCGTTCCATCGGTACTCATCGCAGAACACCAAGACCGAAGACCAAGCAAGAAGACAGCTTCCGGTAATCACTGCAACATTCACCATGACGGTGAGTCTTCTCTTAACTCTCTCTCTCTCTCTCTCTCTCTCTCTCTCTCTCTCTCTCTACTTTACTTTTGGTTGCATAACGCTAACCGTCGCAAGGTGTTTTCTTCTCAGATTGTGGAGATGTGCGTGCATATGGATTGCGCAGGTTGTGAAAGCAAGATAAGGAAAGCCCTGCAGAAGTTAGAAGGTGAGAACACATTTGGAACAGTCTTCTTTCCATGAACCCATCCATGGTTTGTTCCTCCTCTGGTATGAGCAGAAGAGATACTGACAACTGAGCTATGGAGCAGGAGTTGACAATGTGGAGATCGATATGGGAAGTCAGAAGGTGACGGTGACGGGATATGTTGACCAGAAAAAGGTGCTCAAGGCGGTGAGGAGGACGGGGAGGAGGGCGGTGCTATGGCCTTACCAGTACAGCGCCGAGCAACACCACACCTTCAACCACCAGTACCACCAGCACCACCCGGCACTGGCTCAGGCCGGCGTCAGTGGCCCGTCTTCTTCCTATAACTACTACAAGCATGGCTACGACGACTCTCGCATACATGGATACTACCAGCAGCCTGCCATGACTGGGAACAGGACTGGAGATATCTTCAGTGATGAGAATCCAAATGCTTGTTCTGTCATGTGATCTTCATCTTGTTTTTCTTGTTCCACGTTGTGCTTCATAAGATTACACTTACGAAAACTCGCCATAGTTGAATCTCACAATGGATCAAGGAATTTTTTTTTTTGACATGATTGTATCGGAGGGAGAAAATTAGAGTTGGAGCTACGCAAACAAAAATTGATTTGAAGTTTGGAGTTCAGATTTGCGATGAGAGGAATAAAAAAAATTCTCCTTTCATACTTCAAAAATTCGAGCAATATATTAATAAAAAAGTCTCTATATCTATTTTTTTGGTCGAAGACGATCCCTGTTTTCATTTTTCCCATATAGTATGCTATTTCTTGAAATTTCATAAATGTCTTTTCCTTTCCTTCCATGCTCATCACCTTCGCCTATCAACATCATCCACCTATTGCCTTTGTCACCTTCACCCTATCAGCACTACTCATGCACTTGTCATCTCTGCTCGCTATTCCACTAGAGGTCTCACACCTTTGTGTGATGTCTTCGTTGCCCGTCATACTCTTTGCCTTCACCTCCTGCTCTTATCCCAAGACCTTTATATTCTTTCACCCGCAAAAGAAGAGGTGAAGGCAACAAGCCGAAAAAGAGCCAAGGTAATGACCATGACAAGCAAGAAAGGGCCTAAAGCCTCACAGTGGGAATAAGGACAAAGGGTGCGAAGCCTTATAGTGGAAGTAGGGGTGAAGGTGAGTGGCACAAAAGACAGGTGGGGGATATCAAAGGGACAAAAGGAGATGAAAAAAATTAAATTTATGGAACGAAAAGATATTTATAAAATTTTAACAAATAGGGATACAATTGAAAAAAAATATAAAAAATAAGCTCCTTATGGGAAAACACAAAAAAATGAGAAGCATTTTCAAAGAAAATCACCCATAAAATAATAATTAATAAGGTGACGATAAAAAGTAAAAATAGAATTGAGTACTTTTCACTCCCGAAATATCATGATAATGACTATTAATACTAACGGGAGGATATCAGTCGATATTGGTGTGGTCATCTTCTTGATAAAATAGCTTTTACAAGCACGGTCTTGGACCAGAACCTCATCCGTTCCATCTTGGATATTTAATGATCCGGCCCAATAGAAATAGGAAACCCTAAAAAGAGGCCCAACACAACCATAAACATCGATTTCATTGGCGGGCTCACTGCTAAATAACAAGCATTCGATGCTTGAAACCCATGGAAGGTTTGTTGCACACAGACTCGAAGTGGAAGAATCACCAAACTCGGGAGATCGCCACTTGCGAGACTCAAGGTTTCTTCATGAATTCTCCTTTATTTCTTCCAATCTTTTCCCTTCCCCTTCGATTCCAATTTTGACAACGAACTCTGAATTCATTAGGATTTACTTGTGTAATGTCGTCCATAAAGTTTTCAAGGGCAACTCAAATCGCTTCTAGTGAGTTGTTCTGAAATCAACCATCTCTTTGGTCATTCATGGAACCGATGTGTTAGGATCCTTTTATTTTTCTAGCCTCTCTAAATCGAGGGCTAGGGTTGGCTATTGGGAATGTGGTGGAACCGATGTGTTAGGATCCTTTTATTTTTCTTTTATTTTCTGTGCTTTCCTTTTATTTTCTGCATATTTATTAAGTCTGTTTAGTTCAGTTAAAGTCGAAACTCTATAAATATGGATGTAACTGCTTCTTTTCGATTATCTATGAAAAATACTATTCAGCCTTTTGATAAACCCTAGGAGGCTGATACCCTCGAAGTGATCAAGGAAGCCGATCCCCTCGAAGCAATCATCTCTTTCTCTTCATTCTTTTACGATAAGACTTTAGGGTATTTACAATCAAAAATTGGTCAAAACGATAACTTATGGGTACATTTATTGAAGGGCTTATTCCAGAGATCCGGTGTGAGGTTATGGCTCATCAACCCCGCACTATGATGGCTGCGATTTCATTTGCACGCCTGCATGAGGAAAAAATCAGTGTGGAATATTGTCGAAACAGAGGTGCCAACAAACAGGTGATTAGCAGGCAACCCACCTTATCTACTTCTAGTCGAAATCATAACACTCGCAGATTAACCCGAGACGAACTCAAAGAAAGGTCAGCGAAGAGTTTATGCCGGCATTGTGATGAAAAATGGAATAAGGAGCACCGATGCAAACAAAAAAGACTTTGATGATTGAACCAATCGAGGAGGAACCGAAAGTAGAAGTGTCAGATTCCGATCATGAAGATATGGAAACTAATGAGATGTTGAAGCCATCACACATACAGTGCATGCATTGGCTAGCTACTCTAATCCACAAATTATAAAAATTGGGGGAACTCTAAAACACCAACCTGTCACTATTTTGATTGATACGGGTAGCACTAATAATTTTATGGATAGAAAAGTTGTAGCCCGATTAGCTTACCACATCGAATGTTGTGACAAATTTGAAGTCAAGGTCGTTGATGGACAGATTTTAACCTGTGACAGCAAATGCTCAAAGATAAAACCGACTTTGCAAGGCCAAGAATTACTTATAGATTTCTTTTTATTACCTTTGGAAGACTATGAAGTGGTGCTCGGAATTGAATGACTATCAAACCTAGATGATGTCTCTTAGAATTTTTCTAAATTAATTATGAAGTTCTTTATTAATGAAAAATATGTGACTCTCAAAGGAAGACGCGGAGGTAAGGTTACAACTATCACTAGCCATCAGATGGAGCGAGTCCTCCGGAAGACACACACTGGATTCTTGATGCAATTGTAGAACATTGAAAAGGAAACGATAGTGAACATCCCAACTGGAAATATTAAATCATTGCTAACAGAGTTTGCAGATATATTTGTAGAGCCACACGGGTTTCCACCTCTCAGATGTCATGATCATCGAATCCCACTATTACCCGGGAAGGCACCAACCAACATCCGGCCTTATAGATATCCACATTTTCAAAAGGCAGAGATATAGAGGATTGTCACAGAGATGTGTTAGCCCATATTCCTCCCCAATCTTACAGGTCAGAAAGAAGGATGGCTCATGGCGAATGTGTGTTGACTATCGAGCACTCAATAATATTATAGTGAAAGATAAATATTCTATTCTAGTAGTTGGGAGGAGCTCAGGTCTTCACTAAATTGGATCTACGATTGGGCTATCATCAAATCAGAGTATATGAAAGTGATGTTCAGAAAATTGCCTTCAAGACATATAACGACCATTATGAGTTTCTAGTAATGCCTTTTGGGTTAACCAATACGCCCTCTACCTTCGAGAGTTTAATGATTGATATATTTCAAGCTCATCTTCGTAAGTTTGTTCTAGTTTTCTTTTATGATATTTTAATATACAATCCTTTCCTAGAAAGTTATTTATTATATTTACGAATTGTCTTTAATATTCTTCGTAAGCATGATCTTTTTGTCAAGAAATCCAAGTGTTGTTTTGGGCAACATGAGGTTGAGTACCTCGACCATATTATATCTCAAAATGGTGTTGCAGTTGATCCTTCAAAAATCCAAGTGATGATAGAATGCCTAATTCCAAAGTCAATCAAAGCTTTAAGGGGGTTCTTGGGACTAACAGGCTATTATAAGTTTGTAAAGAATTATGGCAAAATCAATACCCCCTTGACGTCACTTCTGAAGAAAAATGCATTCAGATGGTCAGAAGAGGCAACTCAGGCATTTCATTTCTTGAAAATTGCAATGACTACTACACCAGTGCTTGCTCTATCCAATTTTAATAAGTTGTTTGTGATTGAATCTGATGCTTTTAGAGCTAGAATAGGGGCTGTATTAATGCAGGAATGTCAGCCTACCACTTGATCCTTACGCTTCCATGTTATTAACTTTCCGAAATCGGTTTTCAATGTAAACAACTTTTATTGTACGAAGGTTTTTTGAATCGACGTAGTTTTTATCGCTGCATTAATTCACCCCCCCTCTTAGTGCTCCTGATCCTAACACGATCGGGCTATCATCAAATCAGAGTAAATGAAAGTGATGTTCAGAAAACTGCCTTTAGGACACATAACGACCATTATGAGTTTCTAGTAATGCCTTTTGGTTTAACCAATGCACCATCTACCTTCGAGAGTTTAATGAATGATATATTTCAGGCTCATCTTCGTAAGTTTGTTTTGGTTTTCTTTGATGATATTTTAATATACAATCCTTCCCTAGAAAGCCATTTATTACATTTACGAATTGTCTTTAATATTCTTCGTGAGCATGGTCTTTTTGTCAAGAAATTCAAGTGCCGTTTTAGGCAACCTAAGATTGAGTACATCAGCCATATCATATCTCAAAAGGGTGTTACAATTGATCCTTCAAAAATCCAAGTGATGATAGACTGGTCAATTCCAAAGTTAATCAAAGCTTTAAGGGGGTTCTTGGGACTAACGGGCTATTATCGAAAGTTTGTGAAGAATTATGACAAAATCAGTGCCTCCTTGACGTAAGAAAGATGCATTCAGATAGTCGGAACAGGCAACTCAGGCATTTCATTTCTTGAAAATTGCAATGACTACTACACCAGTGCTTGCTCTACCCGATTTTAATAAGTTGTTTATGATTGAATCTGATGCTTCTGGAGCTGGAATAGGGGCTGTATTAATGCAGGAAGGTCTGCCTATCGCTTACGCTAGTAAGGCTCTTTCCCCTTCCCATTTGACTTTATCCATTTATGATAAGGAGATGCTAGCAATAATATATATAGTCATAAAATGAAGATCCTACCTAATCGATCGGTGGTTTCAAATATGCACTTATCACAAAAGCCTCAAATATTTTCTAGAGCAAAAGATTTATTCTTTAGAGCAGTAGAAATGGGTCACAAAGCTATTGGGATTCGATTATGAGATCATTTATCAAAAGGGGAGCGAGAATTTAGTAGCAGATGCCCTCTCACGCCTTCCAGAACAAGTTGAACTAGTAGCTATTTCTATTCCTATTTGCGAGACTTTGGAAGTTATCAGAAGGGAATGATCAAATAATCTTGAGATCCAAAATATCACTAAAAAATTAGAAGAAGCCTTAGGTTTTGTCCCAAATTATAGTTGGGATTTGATGGACTTGCATTATAAAGGTCGAATAGTGGTTGCCCTACATTCTTTTTGCTAGGCGATAATTCTGAAGGAGTTTTATTCATCACCAATTGCTAGTCACTCAGGATTTCTCCGCACTTATAAGCGAGTTCGACAACTTTTTTACTGGAAA